TCCAGCTGGAACTCCACCGAGGGCAAGCCTCTACTGAAGACTGCGTCCGCGGCCGACCTAGCCAGGGCCCGGAGCATCGTGGCCGATGCTATCGCTGCCTCCGCCAAGCGGAACAAGGCGCGGCTGGCCAACCCGGCGCGCAACCAGTATCGTCTCAAGCCTGGCACCGTAATCGGCGGCAGTGTTGCAACGGTGCCTAATAACAACAAGCGACGAGACCAGAGTGGTAATGACAACGATGCCTCCCCCCCTCCGCTCCTCGCAATCACCGAGGAAATCGCCTGGGCCGCGGCCCTCGTGACCGAAGCCGAAGCCACGGCACTGCCCGGGGGTGTGAACTCGGGAACCACCCACTTTAACCCGTCCAACTCGACCTCGAGAGGCATCAAGCGCCGGGCCCCTGTCCGAGGCACGTACTGGATGGAGACCATCGCGCGCAAGGGCACTGTCCCGTGGGGCGACGACCCGACGTATAAGGTCTTCCGCAACGTGCTCGACTACGGCGCCACCGGGAACGGCGTGACCGACGATACGGCCGCCATCAAGGAGGCTATGAATGACGGCCGTCGGTGCGGCGAGAAGTGCAACGGGTCCACCACCAAGAACGCCATTGTCTACTTCCCCCCCGGCACCTATCTCGTCTCGAGCACCATCCCCTTGCCCTTCGGCACGCAGGTTATCGGCGATGTTCTCGACCGGCCCGTAATTATCGCCTCGTCGTCGTTTGTCGGCCTGGGCGTGCTATCCACGGACGAGTATACCGGCGGGGGTACCGGACCTGACGGAAAGGACCAGCAGTGGTACGTTAACACGGCCAACTTTTACCGCCAAATCCGCAATGTGATTATCGATGTGCGCGATGCTCCCGTTAAAGAGGACACGGCGTGCCTGCACTACCAGGTCGCGCAGGCGACGAGCCTGCAGAACGTGGAGCTGCGGGCCGGGCCAGGCTCCAAGGGTATGTACGCCGAGAACGGCAGTGGCGGTCAGATCTCAGACGTATTTTTTAACGGCGGCGATGTCGGGTTCTACGGTGGTGCCCAGCAGTTCACGGCGCAACGCCTGCGCTTCGACGGCTGCGATACGGCCGTTCACTTGTTCTGGGACTGGGGCTGGGTGTGGAAGTCGGTCACCATGACCAACGTGAACGTCGGCTTCCGCTTCGTGGCGAAGGACCCGTCGGGGTCCCTCGGCTCGGCGGCCATCCTGGATTCCTCCTTCACCAACGTCGGTACTGCCGTCCTCGTGTCGCCCCCCTCGGCTGAAGTGGCCTCGCGCAGCACGGGCCTGGTGCTCGAGAACGTGGCCGTCTCGGGCGTGACGGCCGTCGTGGCCGACACCAGCGGCACGACGCACCTGTCCGGAGCCGGCCAGTCGGTTGTCGACCACTGGGTGCTGGGCCCTGTATACGACGGCTCGGCCAGTGCGCGCTCCTTTTCGATGGGTGGGAAGGTGGGCCGGTACCGCCGAGACAGCGGACTCGTCGACTCGTCGGGCAACTACTTTGAGCGTCCCAAGCCGCAGTACGAAGACCGCGCGGTGGGCGATTTTGTCCACATCAAGGACTTTGGCGCCGTGGGCGACGGGGCGACAGACGATACCGCCGCTGTCCAGAGCGCGCTATACTCCAGCCAGGGCAAGATTTTGTTTGTGGACGCCGGCTCTTATATCCTGACCGACACCGTGGTCGTGCCAACCAACGTCAAGATAGTCGGCGAGACCTGGTCGCAATTCGTGGCCTTCGGATCCGCCTTTTCCGATGCGAACAACCCCAAGGTTATGGTGCGTGTGGGTGCGACCCCCGGCCTGGTGGGCAACGTGGAGATGCAGGACTTGTTTTTTACCACGAAGGGGCCGACGGCTGGCGCCGTGCTTCTCGAGTGGAATATGGCCGCCGACGCCAAGGGGTCGGCTGCCCTCTGGGACTGTCACGTCCGTATTGGCGGTGCTACCGGGACCGATCTGACGCCGGCCGAGTGTCCGCCCCTGACCTCGGGTATCGCGCCGGGCTGCAACGCCGCTAGCCTGATGATGCACCTCAAGCCGGGTGCGTCGGGCTATTTTGAGAATATGTGGCTCTGGGTGGCCGACCACATGATCGACGATCCGGATCTCGTGGATGCCAACAACACCATGGTGCAGAACTCGGTCTACGCGGCCCGTGGCTTCTTGATCGAAAGCACCGACCCCGTCTGGCTCTATGGCACGGCGTCGGAGCACGCCGTCTATTACCAGTACAACTTCCACAACGCCTCCACCATCTTCACCAGCATGATCCAGACCGAGTCGCCCTATTACCAGCCGACCCCCCCACCTCCCGCTCCGTTTGCTGACGTTGTGGGCAAGTTCCCCGGCGACCCGGACTATACCTGCGCCCCCGGTGAGTTCAACGGCTGCGACGAGTCCTGGGGCGTCATCATGCGCGGCTGCGAGGACATCCTCATCACAAGCGCCGGCCTGTACTCGTGGTTCTCGACCTACGCCCAGGACTGCATCGGCGGGCAAGCATGCCAAAAGGCCATGATGCTGCTGCAGGGCAACCACGCCAGCGTGCGGATCCAGAACCTAGTTACCATCGGCACCAAGTACATGGCCGTTATGGAGGGCCAGGGCATCCTGGCCGCGGACAACCTCAACGTGGACGCGCACCCCTTCTGGTCGCAAATCTCGATTCTGGACGTCGCTAGTGACGGCGCCCAATTCAACGACATCGTCTGGGTCCACCCGGACATCTGGGACATGGACGAGCCCGAGTTCTCGTGCGCGCCGCCCTGCAAGGTCAAGCTGCCCCCGTACACAGGCGCCACCTCGGTCGTCAACTTCCCGCTGATGACGGTCAGCAAGGACACCTGGACCAGCACTATCACGGTACCGCCCATGACCCTGTCCAAGCTGGGCTTCGAAAATTATGACGCTGGGCGAGGATGGTGGTGGTGGTGGTGGTGGGCTGAAGCGCCGTACCGCGTTCGGGACTGTCTGGCCGGTCCCCGCCACGACCAGCAACTGGCCCGCCGTCGTCTATCGCGGGCCAGACGGCAAGACTTCGACGGCCACCCCGACGGCGGCCTTCCCGACGCCCCCGCCGTCCATCGGGCCCGGCGCGGCGCCCCCGCAGATGGGCGCCTGGCCGGCCCAGGCGTTGGTGGTGCGCGCCGCCGCCGTCGACCCCAATGCCGACCTCGACAAGTCTGCCCATGACTGGTTGTGCCGGCAGGCGGCGATGAACCCCAGCTACTGGGACCTCGATATTGCGAAAGATTGCCCGGGGTACGGTGGCCCGGGCTTCGGCGAGATCCCCATACCCGGTGGCGACGGCTTCGGCTGGGGCCTTGGCTGGGACGTGCCGGAGATCACGGGCAACGGTACCTCGTACGGCGACTTTGAGCCGTGCGAGCTCCCGGAGTCATCCACCACCACCTCGGCAACCCGGACGCGTACGACCACGGCCTCGACCCCGACGCCGACCAAGAACCGCGCGGATCCCGACAAAAACACGATCCACTGTTTCAACAGCGGGCAGAAGATGAGCAACATTCGGCTGCAGAACGGCCGCAATTCGGCGTGCCACAACATCGGCGTGTATGCCGGGGTCTCAGGCCGAAAGCGCGCGACCGGCGAGCTGGAGGGGCCCTTCATGGTCGAGGGCACGTTGCCGTTCAGCGGGAGCGAGGAGATCCATTGGACGTTTGAGGTCAAGGAGGGCTGCGCGTGGACCTATGACTTTGACGAGTGTTTGCACTACCTCAAGACACCCGTCGATAGCTGCAACTGTGGCGGCGAGAACGGCAAGCAGGGCGGATATGGCTCGAATAATTGCCTGAGTTGGATGTTTGACCCGAATAAATCGTGGTAGGTAGGTACCTTGGGTAATTTGACATGTTCTATCTGTTCTCAGTTCCTCATGTCATGTATCGTCGGTCTGTTTAGTATGTGATGTAGACTAGGTAGGTAATGAGGCAGAGAGCTCCCTCTGATCTCACAAGGACGCCTCAAAGATTTGTTAGTTACTGTATAACAACCTTGACGGCTAGCGAGAGAATAAAACGCGCACATACCGAGACTGAGGCCGTAGTCTTGTATGTTCGCCGATCAAGCGGGACTTGGTTTCTGCGCTTGGTTTTACTGGCTTGAGTGTCTTTTCTGCCTAGGGCTATGCGGCGTTGAACAATGTATGGGAATAACAATGTATGGAAATACTAATGCATGGAAGCATATTGAGGTTGGGATATTATTATCATTTCTCTTATCACGCTAGGTACTAAGTACATGCGGTCCCTCAGCGATTAACTCGGTAGGAAAAACCATGCCTAAGCTGGATGAAAACCTCCGCACCTCCGCTGCGAGAGGTTGGGATAATAGCTAATAGTTAGTCGAGTAAATGGTTGGAAATGTGGGATTTGTGCCCCGCCAAAACCGAATCACCGGGTGCTCCTGTCAAGATTACAGGGTTAGGACCACGCCTTTGGCGTGTGGTCGCCAAGGCGTAATCAAACCCCCTGAGGTGGACCCAGGGGACCAGATGCGGTATTTTCAGGGTCAGACGCCTGCCCACAGCTGTTTGAACAAGACACAGAAATCACAACGGTGGCACTGCAGTAGTCGACCATCAATCGAGTCAACTGGACGTAATTACACTGTCTTCGCTACGTGTGACTGCCCCATCTCGGTATCCGTGGCTGTAGGTTTTCCAACAGCTCCCTACCGAGCTAGGCACATACCATTCGACATGCAGATGTTTAGAAAACTTCGTCAAGGGTTAGGGTTATATGAGGGCCTCTAGTCTCAGCCCGTTAGTTACCTCCATGACCTTTTGGCTTGATCCAAGCCTAGGTATGTTCCTATTTGGGCGCATCAAGGCGCTTTTAACGCCATCCTACAGTGTTACTCCATCTCCATCTCCTAACCGCTGCCGTAATTTCTCATAACACTTCCGCCACAATTACACGTACCCGCCTGTCAATTCATTCGCCCGTTGATTCCATGACCACGGCAAGTGCACCCGCTGACAACGGCGAATGGGTTTTCCGACAATTAAGCACAGCCGGCAAGCGACTCTTCTGGAGGCTCAATGGCCCACTCGAGGGCGCTATCGAGGTCTCGCCGTCGGAATATTACGAGCCGGGCGCCGTGATGGAGCCGTACTTCGGCCCGGACGGCTCCCTTCACCCCGTATCGCAAGCGTCCCTCATGGAGCCCCCGCTGTCGTCCCACACCGTCCGCATCCAGCGCATCGACGAATGGGAGCGGAGTTGGGACGAGCAGCACTCGCGCTGCCACGACCGCCCAGTTCACGAACTGTACCCGAGACGCCTAGGGCCCCGCCCCGACGACGAGACCTTCGACCCGAGCATCTTCGTGCTGGAATGCTGCGGGCAGAAGCGGCCCTGGTCCTACGACACCTATCTCCAAGTCGCCGCTCAAGGCGAATTCCTCACGGTGCACGAGTATGTCTCGGCCGTGCACCCGTGGCTGATGGCTATGCGCGATACCCTCCTGGACGCCCTGGGCAAGATGAATGGCCAGCCCAAGTGGCCGCCTGAGACCAAGCTGGGTGTTGTGTATCTGGGGCCGGGCCCGTTAACCATCGATCACGAGGACAAGTGGGCCTCGCGGCACATGAAGCCGCCCGTGCCCCGCCCTGCAAGTGATCAACCCCGGCCTTCGGAGGAGGAGCTCGACCGCAGGGCTATGGCGAGGGCAATGGCAAGGTCTGCGGCAATAATACGCGCGCGAGAGGAAGCGGCACGAGTAGCCGAGATGGAGAAAGAAAAGTAAACCGGGACAGTCTGCATGACCTGCCAATCTGCATCCTCCAGACAGTGAAAATCACCAGCTTCTCTCTCTCTTCTACTCTTCTGCGTGCGCAACACGGGCTGGGCGAGCCTTGGTCGAGGTGGGGTCTTATGACCGAACTCCAACCCCACATCCACCCGCGATCCACCCTCCCACGATCTCGGTATGGAGTAACAAAGTGCATTACCCTGACAACCCTGACAACCCTGACAAAGGGGAGCGAGTGAGTGTGGGTAATGTGTATACACATATACTTCGTACAAAATAGACCCCCCTGGTGCTTGTGTAAGCTCGTCGGACGCGCTCCCACAGTATGTAGCTGCTATGTTTAAGCAAGTAAAAAAAGGGCCTTATATCATTATTAGCGCGGGGGCCTGAGTGGTTTAGACGCGGACTCACATAATAGCTGCGGAGACCATCAATGTGGAGACGGGGAGAGCACCTCTGCTCGGCGGTTTGCTGTTTACCGAGCAGGTCCGGGCGACCAGGCCACAGAGTAGACCGTGTCCTCATGGCCTCCGAGCGTCGCTACACACTCGCTTGTTATAGGATCCCAAATCTTGACAGTTTCATCGTCCGATCCCGATGCTAGCCGGGCTCCATTGGGCGACCAGGTTACCGACTGGACGAACTTGTCATGCCCCGAAAGCGTCGCTGTACACTGACCATGGTCTAGATCCCAGAGATCCCAGACCTTAACAGTCCGGTCATCTGAGCCTGACGCGAGACGAGCTCCATCCGGTGACCATGCTACTGACCCAACTGAGCGTGTATGGCCCTCGAGAGTTAGTGAATTCGTGCAGGCCCAACCCCAGATTTTTATAATCGTGTCATCCGGTCCTGACGCAAATTTGTATCCATCGGGCGACCACGCTACTGACAAGACTAACTCTCTAAAGGCCTCGAGAATCATTCTACACAAGGTAGTTTTCAAATCCCAAGTCCTGATTGTTTGATCTTCTGACCCTGATACGAGGTCCCTTCCATTGGGCGACCAAGATACCGAAAGGACCGCGCTGTCATGGCCCTTAAGCGTTGCGACACACTGGGCAGTCGCTAGGTCCCAGATCTCAATCGGCCCGTCGCGCGATGCCGACGCAAGCTGGGTTCCATCGGGCGACCACGCCACCGACAAGACCGAGCCTGCATGGCTCTCCAGGGTTGCTGTACACTGGCCGGTGGCCGGATTCCAGATCTTGATGGTCCTGTCCGCCGATCCCGACGCAAGCTGGGTTCCGTCGGGCGACCAGACGACGGAGAAGACCGATCCGCCGTGGCCCTCGAGAGTTGCGCTGCACTGGTGTGTCGCCGGATCCCAGATCTTCACCGTGCCGTCGGCTGACGCAGACGCGAGCTGTCCGAGGTCGGAGTCGGCTGAGTGCAAGTCGTCGCTGTGCTCGTCCGGCGCCGGGAGTCCTGCGCTCTCGTGGACCGCGTGGCTTATCGGTTCTTGGACATTTCCATTGTCTGTTCCCTCACCGGCGGAGGCGGTAGTTTGGGCCATGTCGCAGTGCGCGTCTTGTGTTAACCGTGGGAATCACCTCTTGTCTAGGCAGTCCCTTAAAATCCAGGGTTAGTGAATGGTATAGTCTTACAAGAGGAGGACAGGACAGGACAGAGATAGGTAAGGCACCATACCTGGATGGACTTGGGTATCGGCCAGTCGCTAGTCGCCAGAAGCAAACAAGTAATGAGTGATGTTGTGTTGAGGCATTGAGGGAAACCCGGTTGCATTGGTACAACCCTAACCCCCCGAGCGAGCAATGAAACGTGATTACAGACGAATAACTACAGGTAGTTACCGACTAACTAACTAACTAACTAACTAACTAACTACGAATATTGTATTTGATAAGCGAGTGCACTCAGAGGAGGCAAGCGAGTGTGTCTGTCTCCCTCCCTCAGACCCCTCCATTGAAACATGAAACATCTGTGCTCACCAGCCCCGATCCGTTTCCCGCCGTGCCGTGGCTGAAGGTCAAGTCAAGGGCGGGCGGGATGGCGGGCGGGGGCTTGGTTCATGCAAGGCATCACGGGCCATGTTTCAGTTACTCACCACACTTCACTCCAAAAGCGGATATAATGACTTACATCGATCGCTTCCCTTGCGCAGGGGCTCGCTTTTGAAGCAAGGCACGGACGGACAGACGGACGGCCGTCTTGACGCAGGATGCACCTCATCGCTGCTGCGCATTTTTTCTTCAGCTATCTTTACAGATCACAGATAGACACGAAGTAGAGATGCAAACGGATCCAAAGCCCCAAATCCGGCTACCTGATGAAAGCAGCGATGCAATGAGGCACAGGTGGGGGGACGGGGGGGACGGACGGGGGGCGTCCGTCAGCAAACTTCCATGTCCTGCTCCACCTTCACCCGCTCCCGCTCCCAGGTAGGTTGTTTCTCGAAATAAACCGAGAGACGGAGCGAGACATGTTTGCTCTCACTCACCTCGGGCCCACCTCACCTCACCTTGCTCTAGCTTTGCCGCGCCCGCTCCTCCTTCCGTTCCTTAGCGAGGGTGTGCCCGCCGGCGCACGCTGCACGCGGCAATCTGCCGGGTTTCAGTCTTCCCTTCATCCTTCCCGCCCTGCTGTTCCTGGATTTGTGGGGGGGAGGCAGGGAGGGGGGGGGTCCGGGCCCCGGTCGAAGGGTTGCCTGTTCTCGTTTGCCTGTCTTTGTGTGTCTTGGCTCATTCCCTTGGTAGGTCGGTGGGTTATGCTCTTTGTCTTGGTGGAGGTTGCGGGCGGATGCCGCGATAACTAACTAGTGGGAGCCAGTAATCTCCCTGGAATTCACACGGTACAACGCCAACTTCAACGCTCTTGAAACCTCAGAACCCAACCTCAGCCCAATCTCACAACCCAACGGGGACAGCCGGTGACTTTAATTCGTGGGAAGTGCAAGGTTAGATCAAGGAGACAGGCCATGTCCAATATGTCCAAAATCATAATTGTTGAGGGGAAGATTGTGGCCCTTATGTATTTACAGATTAGATCAAGGGAAAAACGGTAAGCGAACGAAACCGTGACTGTTCCCGCCGATGCCCATGATATCGCGGCCTCCAAGCGCAGCTGATCCTCCATCACTGCTCAGCTGTGACTTCTGTTGTTATACAAGGCTAGCTCCCCCAAACGACTTCGAAAGCTCGCTCCGACTAAGAGAGAGGTCCGAAACCAAGCGCCCAAACACAAAACAACAAAACATTGCCATCCGCTCGTGTACAGTATAGTAGCACCGAGAGCCAAAGGTGCGTTCGCTGTTCCCGAAATCAACGGGTTGTGGCCGTCTACACAACCTCGCCGATAATCTTGGACGCCTCCCGGTACGTCTGAAGCATTCTCTCGCACTTCTCGCGGTCCTTCTTCACCGCGTCGTCCTCGTAAAGAAGCTCCTCGAACAGCGCCTCCTTGTACAATTCGGTCACCAGCCTGTTCTGCACGACGTCCTTGCAATGGTTGACCAAAAGGTGCATGATTGCCTTGGGCACTTGGTCCGCGATGCTCTCTCGGACAATGTTGAAGTAGGAGCTAATCAGGGCTCGGATCAGCTCTGTCTCCATGGCCTCGCGGTCAGTCATGGCCGGCTCGCTGCCGTTCATCTAGGGAGGTGGTTAGCCTGGACTGGACACGAAAAGTCGAAGACTGCACGGGGCAAACTTACGAAGTCGTTTCCTTTGGAGCCTCCTGCGAAATCAAGGGCAGCATCATCAACACGGATGGGCGGCGGCGGTGGGGACCGCAAAGGTTTGTCCTCCGGTCGCCTCATACTCTGGCTGAAGGTCGGCTCCACGGACTGGCTCACGTGGCGGCCAAGGTTGGAAGTTGCGGGGGGGGTGCCTGGCACAATGGCGCCATCCTTGCCGAAGAAGTAGTTCAAAAACGAGTCCTTGGCGGTGCCCAAACCTTGCCCGTTAAACTGGGCAGGCGACGAGGACCGGACCCCGTTGAGGGCAGCAGCGATGCCGCCAGACGACGAGTCCCGAACAGAGGGCGAGTGGCTGCGTCCGGTCTTGCCGAGCGCTTTCCGTGCCGCAACCGAGTCCAGCTTTTCTGTTGCGGCGTGCTCATCTTCTTCGTCCACGGGGGTGTCGGCGCCATTGGCGCCAAGCTCCTTCATCCGCCGACGCTCCCGCCGTTCCCGCTCCTCTTGTATCAGGCGCTTCCTCTCCCGCTCTTGCTTATTGCTGACGACGTGGCTCATGGCAGCAGCAGCACCGAGGAAGTTGGGATGATTGGTATTGATGTACGCACGCTGAATTGAGATGAGCGACTCGACGTATCCAGATGCGGGGCCTAGCCGCTCTCGAAGAAGATCCGAGACGACCTCGATGAGCTTGGCCTGCATCCTGGGGAACCGCGAGAGCTCGGTGGAGCCACACGTATGGCAGATCTTGATGAGCTCTTCATACACTAGCTCGACGCAGCGTTGACTTGGGACCTCGAGGAGCTTAATTTGGGGCTTAACGAGTAAATCGAAGGCCATTTCAGGCACAAACAAACTCGGGCGCGGACCTGTCGAGTTGCGGATGGCTGTCCGGATGTCGAGGGCAGAGAGGTTCGAAGTAGGGTCGATCGATTCTAGCGAGCTCCCAAAGACAGAGTTGAAAATGTAATAGATGCGGGCGCCACCGCAGAGTTCTTTTGTCGAGATCTCGGTCGAGGTGCCATCAATAGATGATATGAAGGATGACGCAAAACGGGTCATGAGTTGCAGGATAAGTGAGCCCCGATGCTCCTTCCCGCTGAAATGCATGTCTCCGTAGCTGGCAAGCTCCTGCTGGGTTTGCCCCATGAGGGTGTTTAAGCGAGCCTTGATATCGGGGAGACGGTCTCGAATGTGAGCCATTAAAGTGGTGTTGAGAGTCTTTGCCAGGAAGCGCGTGCCACACCGAGTGGAAATATTCCTATAAGCCGGGTGATGCCTGAAAAATTCAGACTCAGACTTTAGAGCATCTTCCATGGGCTTGTTGCCTTGGATATCCTGCTGCGATCGGTTTACCACCCCGATCCAGCCCAGCTTCAGAGGGTAGACCCGCCCGGATAGGATTTCCAGAGCGTTGGTGCCGTGGTCCATCAAGTCGACCTTGGTGAGCACCCCGATCGTCCTCCGGCCGAGTGGATCGACGTGGCGGGCAAGCTTCAGAGCCTCCGAGTTGACGATGTCGACATTCGCGGGCGAGACAGCGAGGACGATGCTGTTAGGTTTCGCAATGTATTCGGAGATTAGGTTGCGTGTCTGTTTTTCGATGTCCGTCGGTTGGTCTCCAATGGGCACCTGCGGCGCGCTGGTTAGACCGGCAAGTACCAAACGACCGCTCTGGGACTGACCTTTGTGAGACCCGGCAAGTCAACAAGGGTTAGGTTCAAGACGTTTGGGGAGAAGATCTTGAGGTTGATGGCCTGGCGATTGATGCCCTTGTTGTTTCCGGCAACTCTCGAGGTCTCATTCTCGATCTCCCGCTTGACGTCGCCGAAGTCGTTGAACCGCCGGTTGGGGATGTGGTGGAATTCAGCCCACTCGTTCGGGGCGGCCTGGCTCGGGTTCCGGTAGCCAGCGTGCGGGTCTTCGCCGGCATCGTCGCCAGGCACGTTGATGAGCTGTAGGATGAGGGGTCTTCGGGTAACAATGCCGCTGCCACGGGGAAGGAAATCCCGGCCAACAATGTTCTCAAGTACCGACGACTTGCCCGCGGACTGGGACCCAACAACAACCTGTGGAGGGCAGTCGTCGTTAGAAAGCCCGAGCCAAAAGTAGGGGGGAGGGGGAGGGGGCGGGGGGTTGGCGGGGTGGTGTTGGTGATGGTGGTGGTGGTGGTGGTGGTGGTGCATACAATCTGAGGGAGATCGAGGGAGTCATTGCCAATAGTGTTGAAGACCAGGTCTTGCAGCTTATTGACGGTCCCCAGCAAGTCGTCGCCGAGCGCAGCCATGGCAGCGGTTGCAGGTAGGCAATGGCCTCTGGTGTAAGCGGTCGAGAGCAAGGTATGCGCCGATAATTTTGGGATATCGAGCTCAAGCAAGCAAGACGGCGCAGAAGTGGAGGAGGTCCGGCCGAAAGGGAAGAAGAAAAAAATCGGGTAGCCGACGCCTGGTCGTGGCTTTCTGACGAAGGAAGTGAAAGCAAGCGGAACGATCCGTCGATCTTGGGGGGGTCGATAATAGAAGCCGAAGCTCGACAAAACTCAAATCTCTCGGCGGAGTAGCTGAACCGGGGATGGATTCGCCAGAAAGTTTCAAGCACAGACGGCCCTGGCCTGCCTGCGCATCGATCAATTTCAGGGCTCAATGCATGCCGCCTAACCACCTCAGACCAGATAGCGCATCAGAGGGAGACCCACTGTGTGGGCATCCAATGGATTGGCCAACCTCCCTCCGAGCCTTACTCACAGGCTGACTGACCTTGGTTGGGCAGCTTGTGGCCTGAGTGCCTGAGGCGGGTTTGGGCGTGTGAGACCCACAGCGCGATAAGCCAGCCAGCCAGCGTTCATACAGCCCGATTACTGTGGGTCCATCGAGGTACGGTACCTCTTCATTCCGAACGCTGCCGAGCCGGAAAGGGCAACTCAGCATTCAGCATCAACAAACGCTCTTTGGCCCCTCACTCCGTTCGTCTCTGTTCATTCAGTCCGGAAAGAGTACCTTGGTTATCTTTGTTCTGTATATTCTGCGAGTTTGGGACCACGTCAGTACTTTCGTTTTAGGCAATCATCCAACCTCGCTGGAGTGACGCTCCAGTCAGGTGGCTTGAACTCTCCTTCCGTTTTGAGTCTTCTCTCGCCAGGCACGTCAGCCAGGACAGCAACATCAACCCTAAATTACGAGAAATATCTGGGGTTAAATTACAACTCACATTGATACCTCAAAGCTTCGGCTGAGAACAAGATGAGCACCTTCGGAAGTCCAGGCCCGTTGCCGTCAACAAGGCCCACCCCGTGAGTTCCCGAGTCTCGGATGAGACGATTGCCCTGCTTGTTGACAATATCCTTCCGTTCAGGCCGCAAAGAGGAAGCTTCCCCCTAGACCACGACGGTAAGTGGGATAGCCTTTGTGAGGTAGCAGCTTACTCATTCTCGATTCTAGGAGAGTGCAAGCATGTCATGATGTCCTACCTGGATTGCATGAAGAAGGTGAAGGGGATGAATGACAACGAATGTCGGATGCTAGCCAAGTCGTATCTAGGTTGCCGCATGGACCAGTGGGTTTTCCGGGTTTAGACAGGTTTCTCTGTGATTCTGGGTCAACTAACTGTTGGGTATTTAGCAACTTGATGGCCCGGGACGATTTTAAAAATTTGGGCTTCAAGACAAAAAGCCAAGAAACACCAGCCAAACAAGGCGCTGGCAGCGAGACAGGGGTCAAAGGAGAGCTCCGTTGGTGATTTTTGGCGGGACACCCCACATACGCTTTGGGGGGTTGGTGTTAGCCCATGTGGGGTTAAACATCACATGCATGGCTACCAAGTAAGGATCGAGTCGGTCTAGGCTCAGCAGTGAGCCACGCCAGCCTTTCTGGTAGGCAGACTGGCTCTTGCCTCGGGTTCTCGGGCAGCAAGGGCTTTCATGCCCATTTTCAAACTCTCTCCCCTCCTCAACCAGCCGACCCAACAACAGCCAAGTGTCCAATCCGCCTGGAATGCATCAAAGTTCCTGTCTCCGTCAATATGGGTCCCGGGTGGGACTCCAAACGCCGGGCTCGTCATACGGCCGTTGCCGTTCCCGGTCCCTGTGGACGACATCCCGTCTTCATAGCTATTCCGACACGCTCCCAAACCTTCGAATTGGAAACCGCACACGTGTGATCTTCCAGGGGTTTACTGGAAAGCTGGTTGGGGACGATTTACTCTCTGCTGGTTCCAAGCAGCTGCTGACTCTGGTTCAAGGCCACAGCAAATGCCAAAGACTCCATTGCTTGGGGCACCCGTATCGTTGGAGGCGTGACGCCTGGCCGTACTGCAGAGCACCTTGGTCTTCCAGTGCTTCCTACGGTTCGATCGGTCTGCGCAGACTCCTTGCTCTTCCTCGTGAACCGGCCCAGGAGCTGATATCATCACGGACAGGCGGTGGAACAGCTAAAGCCGGATGCCACGGCCATCTACGTGGCGGCCCACCAAGCCGCGGCTGCAATTGAAGAGGCAATAGAAGCCGAAGTCCCTCTCATCGTAGCCGTCGCGGAACACATCCCCCTGCATGATATGCTTCGAGTAAGCAAAGCCGTCGTAGTTGATATAAATTATACTATGAGTATCTATTCTGACAGTTCAAGGTCCATTCCATGCTAAAATTGCAATCCAAGTCTCGCCTTGTTGGCCCCAACTCGCCTGGTATCATCTCCGCCGTGGGAAGGTGTCGGATAGGTTTGCTAGCCAAGACTAAGAGACTAAGAGCTCGATCGCCGGTGCTAACCTTGCCGTAGGGTTTCAACCGCTGCCGTGCTTTACGCCCGGTAGAGTAGGGATCGTTGCAAAATCCGGGACCCTGAGTTATGAAGCAGTGGCGTCAACCACGCGGGCAGGCCTTGGGCAGAGCTTGTGCATTGGTGTGGGTGGCGACATCGTCCCCGGTACCAATCTCCAAGAGGCCCTGAGCGTTCTTGAACATGACCCGGACACAGACGCCATTGCCTTGATCGGTGAAATTGGAGGTAGAGGTGAATTTGACGTCGCCGATTGGTATGTTTATCTCCTTGCCAGTGGCGACGTGCGTGTCTAACGAAAGTTTGGTAGGATTCGTGAGTACCATTCCCGGACTAAATCACCGAAGTGAGTTTCCAGACAGCCCTGTAGGGGTTTCAGCAAGACTGACTTTTTCTTTCAGGCCCGTGGCTGCCTTGGTTGCAGGTATCGCCGAGGAGCCCGGCCGCATCATGGGCCACGCCGGTGCCTTCACCACTGTCGGGGAACCGAACGCAAACGCCAAGATAACCGCGCTTGAATCTGCAGGAGCGACGGTAGTCGGCCATCCAGCAGAGTTTGGCGACGCCCTGAAAGCAAGGCTGGAGGCTAGAGCTGCAGCCTCTGGACTGGGGCCAGGAGGAGGAGGTGGCGTTCGGTCGCTTGGGGGGACTCAGCGCCGCCAGTTTCATACCGTTGCCCACAGACCCCGGCACAGAGAGAAACCAAAGTCGCTCTTCCGCCAACAACAACGGAGGCATCTTTATATCTCCGAGGACCAATGCATGGACCTCCTCCGGCAAACCGGCAAAATCAACTGCGATACAGCGGCCTCCGGTGCTCAAAAGCTGTTGGGTATCAGTATTGATCGTACGGCACGATCCCCTTGTATCATCGCTTCGCCGACCGCCGAGGAGACCAGCCTGAACGAATCCGTGGAACGCTATCCCTTCGATTACGGGAGCGACCTTGATGCGCTCGTCATCGAGCAGGTGGCAAGGCATTTGCAGCTAAGTCCAGGCGAAAGCGGCGTGAAATCTCTTCGCCATCTTCTCAAGGCCTTGACAGCCATCTTTTACGACAAGGAAGCATTCTTCCTATCCACGTCTATAGTGGAAAACTCGGGCGAGCTTATGGTCGTGGGTGCACGCTTCGGCTTCGACGACGCTGCATACCGCAGCTGCGGCCGGCAAGCCGAGTTACAACAACTGCGGAATATCGCCGCAGAGGACCCGTGTGAGATTGAGGCGGAGAAAAACTGCATCGTTTACATTAAGCTCAAGGGACCCGGGACAATCGGCACCCTTGTCAACGGCGCAGGGTTGGCCATGAACACTGTTGATGCGCTTGCCGGGCACGCCGCCAATTTCCTCGACACCGGGGGCAAGGCCACGTCCCAGACGGTAAAGCAGAGCTTCGAGATTATTCTGCGAGACCCGAGGGTCCGCGTGATTTTTGTCAATATCTTTGGCGGGCTAACCCTCGGCGATATGATTGCCAGGGGTATCATCATGGCCTTTAAGGAGTTGTCTCCCAGCGTCCCTGTTGTTGTACGCATCAGGGGGACAAATGAGAGAAAAGGTCAAAGGCTTATCTCTGAAAGTGGCTTGCCGCTGTACGCATTCGATGATTTCGAGGCGGCGGCGGCTAAGGCAATCGAACTGTCGAAAGATGCCTGAGAAGGATACCCGAGGTAACACAATTGTCGACATAGGGGGTCTATGTTATTATATTGATGCTGTCTCGTAATGAAATTATGAATGGGCGCGAAGGCTCCGATTTATTGTGCGATGGTTTGGTTTAAACCTTCTTGATGACGGTCATGCCGTTCACATACGCACGTAACCCAGAGTGCCGTGGCTCTCTCTGCTCCTGGTTACCGTTGTCGGGTAGGTTGGTATTCGCTTGCTGCTTCTCGTCCGGCCCCAACAGTTCTAACTGCTGTAATTTCCAGCCTCTTAAGAGCCATACTGTTGACATTGTTAGAACTGGATCTACTAGAAAAGGATGAAAGCGCCTTACTGGAAACAAATGAGGCGATGTACATCGACCCAGTGAAAACCTGTACATTGAGATAGGCGCTAACGCCAGAAGTCTTTAGGCTCAGAGCAATTACTTCGGCACTGTTGAATATTAGGCCAGGGTTTGGAAGAAAAGGTAGCGGAGGGAACTTGGTAACTTACAAAGTGGCAGGTAGAACCAGAACAAGCCAGTAAATCGACAAGGCTAAGCCACCCGGTTAGTCTTTCATGAATGCAGCAATCAGGGGCAATGCTCATGCATACCAGAAGGCAACAGTTGCAAACCAACAACCTCAGCTCCGACGGGAGCAACACAAGGCCATATGATTCCCGCAAACATTCCGAAGAGAACGTATACAATGAGCCCGGCGAAGTGGCTCCCAGCAAAGATCCATAGAAAAAAGGCGGCGAGGCCGGCGATTAGGGTCCCAACACCGGCGACATTAATTCTCCCGAACCTGTCGCTGACCAAGCCAATGAGAGGCCTTCCGATGCCTTGGGACACTAAGATATCGCAGGCGTGAATCAGCACGTGATGCACGAAATGGTTGGTGATGGAGGGAATGGGATCTTACAGTTGAAGATAGAAGCTGCAAGCGATCCCTGGCTTGCGGTAAAGCCAACCGACTGGGCATAGTCGGTAATGGAGAAGACAACGATGACATAGCCCAGGAGACTGAAGAAGCCCCAGCCGACAAACAGCCAGAACTCCAGACGCTTGAAGAGGTCCTTGTGGAAGGGTATGTGAACGGCACCAACCGCCTTATTCCTATCACGCAGGATCAAGCTGCATGCGCCGTTCACCACAAAGGCCAAGATGGCTAGGATCCGGAATGCCCAGGCGAGGCCAAGGTTGGAGATCATGGCATTCGTGCCGAGGGCGTATGTGAGCCCACCAAAGCCGGAGCCGCAGGTGGCTACGGAGTTGGCAAAGGAGCGCCGTTTGGTGAACCATTGCGGAACGACGCCAACGGTGGATGTGAAGCAGAACCCTAAGCCCAGACCAAAGCACACACCTTGGCTGAGAAGGAGGTGCCATATGTGGGTGGAGAAAGAGGCGCCGATGAAGGATATGCTGGTAGATAGGGGCAACCCGGTGTTAGCCTGCTGCAGCGCTGGGAGTACCGGCTGGGCATGCGGTACTTACGCTTCGAGTACAACGCCGATTCGCAGGCTTGTGGCGGTCCCAAACCGGCCGATAGACCAGGTAGCTATCGGAGACACCAGCAGGGCTACCCGGGCATCTGTCAGCAGGTACCTTTAGATCATGGAAAGGAGGCGACGTACATATCGAGATGGACAAACCGCCTACAAAGGCGAAGCCCAACGGGGATGCACCATCAATGGTGCCAGACCGTAAGTAATATGCCAGAAAGACGGCATATGACGAGTTCAAACCCCAAGTGTGGGCATTAACGAGGAGGACGGAGAAGACAACCACCCTGTTTACTTACAAGATTAGCGTTGGGCACTTGCTAGAGGGGGGATCCCTTGTCTGTGTGTGTAAAGTCAAGGGGAACATGCTTGTACGGGGCAACACTAACCAACCATAACCCCCTTCTTTGAACTCAGCTTCTTCGGGTGAGTCAGTCTCAACCGGGCTGTCATCCGACCCGGTGCCTTTCTCACCAGAGAAAAGTTCGGGAGCGTTTTGCTTTGACTTCATTGACACGGGTAACGCCGGTTCAGGGGCTGTTGCCATGGGCGAAGTCATTGGGGGAGTTTGTATGTTGAGTGGAGGATAGGACAAGAAACGATATGGAAATTAAGACCAGGAACAGCACTTGTTTGCAGGGACATTGAGATCTCGTTGCCCTGAAACGGTGTTGACAAAAAGTACCATATAAAGGGGGCAAATCCAAGGTTCAGCACGATTCAACGCGTAACACATGAGGGCCGCAGAGACAGTATATAATACACAATCAAGCGGTCACCCTCGGCCGAAGAGAAGGTTGTAAGTCCGGGAATATTTTTGCAAGGGCCATCGCGGTTCTGACGGAACCAACACCCTCCTTCTCCCCACCCGGCAGACCTCCAATGTGCCTCGAGTTTGGTTTAGCGGGAGCCGCTGCCGATGCAGCAGCATCCACACCCCCAGACGCCGCGCCGACTAGGGTCCATCCTCGGCCCATGTTCTCGAAGTTTGTCCTTACCCTGCCTGCTTCATCCCATTGTCTAGTGTATATGGCAAGATGAGACAGGGCCAAAGACAGCATAGTCAGATGGGTTAGCTAGTTAGTTATTAATAGGTAGATAATAAATTCAACGCGGCATGTCGGCTCGGAGCTCGGTGGCATCATGACTCCTCGAATTGGCTTGCCCTCTCGGCCGACTCTTGCCCGAGGGAAGCTCGAGAATCATTGATGGTAGGCGCACTTTGATTCCAGAACAGGGTCGGCCCGGGCCCGGAAATAACTGGCGGGCGAAAACCCCAAGACGCCCTTTCCACTGAAACGGATTTTTATCAGGCTGCAAGGCTTGGAGTGGAGTGGGTCAGTGGGTGTTGTCGAGTGCGGGGAAAGGAGAACCGGCAAACAGTGGCGGATGCCGAGTTTGTGCAGGGCATCCCTCGAAACTTTTAAGCCAACCCACTTCTCAGGTCGTTACTGTGTCAGCTCTTCGAAGCTCTCAAGTTGCCAAATAGGCCTAACCACAATTGCGAGGCAATGTGGGGGATGAGATTGCGTAAGATGGAACTGGTGAACCGAAATGGTGGGAATTGGAGAAAAGAGCCCTTGTCAGAGCGTGCTTCGTTGTGTCCATCCTGTGTAAGACATGCATTGCATTTCCCCATCCCTGCCTCCTCGTGGGTGAGAAACTCCTCAGCTTTGGTTTTGTTTTGTCAAAACGGGATCCATCGGCAGACAGAGCTGAGGCTGCAGGCGCTTCCGAGTCCCGCCCTGGCGCTGCAGTTCCGATTGGTTGCTAACTAATTTTCCAAGAGCGACGCGCGAAAACCGTCCTGCCCTCGCGTACTTCTCCAGTTCTGCCCGGATGTCGAGGAACTATACAGGAGGGGTTTGGCCAGGCTCCTTTCGCATCGCATTCTGGTTTTGAGCCGCCGGTTGAGTCACCCTCCCCACTATCTCCTCCAGAATGACCTTGTGCTCGACGGAGAGCACTTCCGATCGTTCTCCAGCTCCCTTCTCTCCCCTGACTAGCAAGTTGGGTATGAAACCCTGGGTAAGCCTCTATATGGAGCGCTTTATACATAGAGGTCGAGAGGGATCTTGATGACAAAGATCTGGCGATCGCTATCGTAAAACCGGAAGCGGAATTTGTGACGCCACCTCTCTCATCCTGCGTCAACCCGGCTGAAGGCGGGAGAGTAGACGTCGACAGAGCCGATACCGACGCCGATGGGGAGGGATGCCGCTGATCTTGATGTAATTCCTGCCATGGTGGAAGCGTGAAGCCGGGAGAGAACGTCGAGTATATCTCCACCGGGGTTACAAGCTGTATAGCCAAGGGTATTGGGCAGGGCGAGGGGTTATGAACCGCAGCCAGGGGTGCCAGCTAGCCAAACCAACTGGATGTGTATGTTGAAGCCGGAGAGGTGAGAGCTGGTTGTGGGAATTCGGAAGGGTACGAATAGTCGGTTTGCACTCTGACTCGAGCTCCCTGAAAATAGCGGATCCGCACCAGCCAAAAACAGCAGTCCAAACATCACTATTTGTGCTGAAGCTTGCACTGTAAGCTCTGGTGGGCTGCCGTTGGCAAGGCCAGGTACTGGTTGTTGACGCAGCTCGCTTGGAGCCAAGCACTGTTCAAATACCTCCCAAGTACTGTGCTGCTGACGAGTGGCTCCGGCTCGTCGCTGTGGGAACCCACCCATGTTTGTCTCGTTGCGTGGTCCAATCGCAGCTGGCAAACCAGGAAAGGCAGCTGTCGGCTTGTCTCGCACCTCAGCGGATCAACTGTCTTTTGACTCACCTACTTTTATGCGTTCCGTTCACCGTGCTTGTTGTGTCCCTTGACCTGCCTAGCAACGTCATTGACCACTGATACTCACAGATAAACAACATTCCAGGACATTCCATAAATTGAACTTCGGTCGAGCTGGCTGCTAGGCCCAGCCATTCTCGCACCGTTTTAACTCCGGCCTTCGATTGCAACCCCCAGCTTCCCCAATTCACCGGGCTACCCATCGCTGCCACCTCCCGCTGCACACTCCCCAAAGCTGCCAAGTATCTTGTCGGCGTCGTAAGGTCCGAGGACCATGTTTGCCCGCGGCAGCTCTAAGGAGCGGAATTCCACAAGGAAGGTGACGCCACCGTCACCTTCCTACATGTCAAGCGAACAGTTTGGTATGCAACAAACGAACAACCCCCAAGACAGGCATACGATTCACGACCTGGTCAGTTACTGACCTACCGCAGCTGCTTATCTCGCAGGTCTTCGCACCAACCGTATCAATAGGCCAGCAGGTGCCCGCCCTCCGCCGGCTTCCAGACATGACGCTCTTAGCTCGTCTACCAATATCCGGCCTTCCGCCGATAATCCATCTTCATCGACCTTGCCTACCTACCACCAGCGGACACAGTCGGACACTGTGAGTGTTCTGGCCTCCGCAAGCCGCCCTTCGATTGTTCCCAGCGTCTCGTCATACTCGAGCACGGCCCGCGGAAAGGACTATTATCCGGACCGCCCTGTGCAACCACTGAAACCGTCAGAAGTCGTCCCCAGTGCAACCTACATGGAGCGTGGGCAAAGGTGGATGGAGAAAGAGGAGGCATTCTCGCTGCGCCGAGCTATGGAAGATATGGACCTTAAAGAATCGCCCCAAGAGGACATGGAGGGCGCAGAGGAGGGCGACGAGGACAAGCGGATTTATGGTGCGGCGCTCGACGAGGCGGCCGAACTGGTATGGCAGCACCAGAATCCGGACAAGATTCCTCAGCCTGGGGCTCCCTACCGATATCGGCCACACCTGCGCAAGAACAGTTATGCCCATGCTCGCACCGCTAGTGTCGGCAGGTATGGTACTGACGTCACGCCCACTGGTCTTGCCCGAGGTCCTCTCTCAGGGTCGCGGTCCGGTAGTTCTACCGAGATCGACAGCCCTGCGCAAGCTTCGGGTCGTCCGTCGTTTTCCTCCTCTCGTCAGGCATCCAGCATAGGGCCGGGGTGCGGTGCGGCACAATCCGGCGCGGCCGCGGATCGCAATTTCAAATCATACGGCGATATCCCGAGCGAACCTCACTCCATTTCAGGAGGGCGTTCCAGAAGCAGACAGAAAAGGACCATGAGCAACGAGGCGCAGAAGCCCTTCTCCGGCGACCAGATCTGGGAGGAACCAGACAACGAGTCCGACGGGGCTCGAGCTTCCGCGTCAGATGATGTGGTTAATCCGCTAAAACCAAAGCCAAAGGAGCCTCTCAACCGTCTTCAGTTCACCCGTAGGGGTGCTTCTGGGTTAAAGACGGAGCCTCCCCCCCCCTCCTCACCCGAGAAGTTAGTCTCCAAATACGAGATACACCGCAATCCTCCAACCCAATCTCGAAATCCCCTTTACACAACCAACTCTCGCGTTGCCACTCCGCCGGTTCCGCGCGAAGACGTGCCCCGAAAGCACGGCATGGAGATCCGCAGCGAGGATATCAAGCAGGCAACGAGTATGAAGTTGAAAGACCGCAGTCCCAAGCTTCCCACGCCCTCTGCAGTCAGCGATAGACCCGGTAGACCTATCGTAAGCTTTGAAAAAAATTGGAAGCCCCAAGGGGAGGCTACTGACGGCAAGTCAGAAGAGTCGACTTTCGGGCGGGGAAGTGCCAAACACCCACCCTGCCTCGTCCCGGGCGGGCTCCGCAAACAGCAGCCGCAGCCGCAAACCCAAACGATCCCTACTATCTCTGTTTCGAACAGCCCTGCGGTCTCGCCGGCCCCGTCGCCCTCGCCGACACGCAACACACAACCCCCTGCGCCCTCTATTAAAGTCGATGGGCCTTCTATCCCCGTGATTGCGGTCAACGACTCTTCCTCGTCCGCCCCACCTGCTATCGTGATTGGGCCTGATGATGCGGATGACGGCCCCAGCATACCTGTAATCGTAACACCTGACGATAACAGCGCCAACAGGAGCGGGGGCTCTCGTCGTCCGCTCCCCACACCGCAAGCTGGAGCGCCTCGTGTCCGGCAGGCAGCGCGACCTCACGGGCCCTGGTCGTCCGCTTCGAAGCCGGCCGGTAGCCGCGCCACTGCTCGCTGTCACGAATGCGGTGATTTTATCGAGGGCCGCTTTGTCTCCCTCGCCGGCACATCGGAGCGGTTCCACCCGCAGTGCTTCACGTGTTATACTTGCGGCACCTCTCTCGAGGCACTCGAGATCTCTCCCGAACCAGACAACCATCGCGAAGCGCGCCTCGACCGCATCGCCCGCCGCGCCGCGGGTCAGATGCTGCCCGAGGAACCCGGCCAGACGATGGCCGAAGATGGCGACGACCGCCTCCGCTTCTTCTGCCACCTCGACTGGCACGAGCTGTTCGCGCCGCGCTGCAAACACTGCAAGACGCCCATCATGGGCCAGCACGTGGTGGCGCTGGGCGCCCACTGGCACTTTGGCCACTTCTTCTGCGCCGAGTGCGGCGACCCGTTTGAGAAGGGCATGACGCATATCGAAAAGGACGGCTATGCGTGGTGCGTGTCCTGCCAGACGAAGCGCACCGAGCGCCGCGCCCCCAAGTGCCGCAAGTGCAGGGACCGCCGTCATCGGCCAGTACGTCCGTGCCCTGGGTGGCGAGTGGCATGACGAGTGCTTCCGCTGCGCCACCTGCAACGGCGCTTTTTGACGACGGCCAGATCTTCCTATGAAGGGCCCGCGGTGCCCCGGGGCGAGACGGTGGTTCTGTGCACGCACTGCATGGAGAGGGAGTGAAGGCATGAGGCATGAGGCGCAGATGTCCATGGGATGCAAAGCGGTGCGCGTGGATTGATTGATTGATTGATGCAGTTTCGGATTCTCTGTTGTGTATTTGCTGGCCAGATCTGGAGTTTGTTTGTAATTTCTCTGTAGGTTTGGGTTTGTAGGTGCATCGTAGGAAATCATTTGCCTGGCGTTTTCAAACATAGACGGCTGCATCTCCATCGTTACGTCATGATATGTGATGATGTCTGGGGACAAACACCCCCATTGCACCGCGCGCACGTGTAGAGAGCTGGCTAGATCGAGCGTAGGCCGACTAAAGTCACAATACATAGCATCGCAAGATAATAGATGAGTCCTGTATGGCGAATGATAATTCCCTAACGTGCCAGATAACCGCGCCCCGAGATGCGCCAACTCCTCCCCTCCCCGAGCCGGAATCCAGCGACAAGATCTCCATGCATCATGGGCATCGTCATCTCCCCGTTGGTATCCTCCGCCCCGCGCCCACCCGCGTAGATAGATGGGCGTAAAGTTGCAAAACTCCGATATTTCCGTTCGCCATCCCAAAGCCGAGAGCGTCCAGTATCGCCGAGTAAACCGCGAACCCCCCTCCCTTCACCCCGCTTCCCCTCTCTCGATCAATCGTAACGCGCGGGCTCAGCAGCCACCGACCTGCTCTTGGTGGACTTCTAGGGTATCGCCGTCTTGCATCTCCAGCTAATCCAGTGTGTCAGCGAACAAACCCTCTCTATTCGCGCGCGTAATCTAAGAAAACCAAACCCCCCTCATCTACACCCCTAGGCAGAAAAACAAAGAGAAAAGCCATCGACGGAGGGGAAGCAAAACTCACCGTATCGGGTGTATCAGCGGGCTGGACGCGCTGGCCCTCAAAGAGAAAGCGGACCGAGGCCGGGGTCTTGCCCTGGCGCTCGCAAAAGGCCGTCATGAGCTTCTCGAGCTTGGTGCTGCGCTTGATCTTGAAAAACACCTCGTTGTTGTTGTCCGTCACCTTGATATTGAGGTGCTCGTTTGCTGCTGCTGCGGCGGCGGCGGCCCCCGCTCCCCCGCCGCCGCTGTTTCCACCGCCCATACTCATGCCGCCCATGCCGACGCTGCTGCCGCTCATCTCGGGCCCCGGGGGCTGAGGGCTGCCGTTCTCGGCGTTGTCGGCCATTGTTTTTTTGGGGTTGGGCGAAGGGTGTTTTGAGGGTTTGTAGGGTGGGTGGGTGTGTCACGAGGTTGGTGGGCGTTGAGGAAGTGTGGTTTTCTGAGGGGTTGAGGAGATTTAGTTAGTTCTTGAAGGGTGCGGAATGCGATAAAGTTGTGTTGGGTGAATGGTTGCATGTGCGAGGGGGAAGGCGGAGTTTGGCGTAACTACCAGAGGCTAATCGGGTGCAAAGTGCGAGAACCCACCTCAACTAACACTGTACGCCAAAAAGGTGGGAATTGCTTGTCTTTGTTTCTTGGGATTCTGCTCGAAAGGAAGCTGATGCCGTATGACCCAAATGGCGGGTTGCTCAACCTTTGGAGGAATTTGCCTGGCGTCGGGGCCGGTCGGTTGGTTGTTGAAGGTGGGGGATGATCGAGCGCGCAGCGTGGCCGGGAGGTGCCCAGGTCGTGTGGTGGGGTTGAACAAAGTTCTAGGCTCCAGAGGTAAAGCCTTTTGAGCTGCAGTAAATCAATATGGAACTGACATCCGAACTTTGACAGTGACTGGGGGTTATTCTAGGTAGTCAGTGATACCTAAAGTACCTCTAGGAGAGTGCAAGTTGGAAATAAGTTCAGCGATGAAATGGAAACAGTGAACACTGTTTCCAGTCTTAACTCAGAAGTCACTGACTATCTAACGATATAATTCTCTTATTACCGGTTTCCACCGATATAGCTGGCACTATTCTGCATGAGCGGCTGCTGGGAGGAGGTATCATGGAACAACCAAGGAGCAGCTCATGGTGACCATGTAGAGTAGCCCATGGTGATGATGCTGGGTAGCCCATATGATGCAGAGCAAGGCCATGCAACGCGAGGTTTGTCAAGCGCTGCCGGGGTCCCCTGACATCATTGTTCCCAGTTGCATTCCAGCACCGCCATCTGGCCCTGGGACCTCAAAGAACCAAACAACTACCGACAGAAAGAGACCACCAATCCAACTTCACTTTACAAACGACGCCGCAATGGTCAGTGTTGGGTGCTATCACTTTTATATCCCATAGCGTCAGCCCAAGATTGACACGCTTGCTTATCCAGGGACTCGATCAAGACCTCCGAAGCAATCCTCCATGCCACCCACGAGCGGTTCGTCCGCTTGTCCCTTAGTGTTGTCTATGATAGATGCTGACATAAAAGGACTGTTCATACAGTGTGCAATTCAAGGTATCCTCTCCTGAGTCATGTTGTCGGGTTGGCGCACCTGACTGACATTCCAAGATTGTCTGACGAAAAATGGGTACAACGAGGCCAAGTGTGCCAAGTTCGTTGATGCTCTCTACGAATGCTGCCAGGCGTTCTATGAGAAGAACGGTGACAGCGCGGTAACCGCTAGCTGCCCAAAGCCGAACCTGTTGCGGCTGAAGATGGAGCAGAGGAAAAACGGCATCCAGTAATGGAAGGGAAATAAATGTATCACTCGCCAAATGCGTCCACCCTAATAACCCCGAGAGGCGTCAGGTAACTGGAAAGGAGGGTGCGGGATTCCTCTAGGCTATCATTGAGCGCGCAAGAGGCCGCGTGGACCTGAACAAGCAATGAAAGGCTTGTTCCGAGACTCTAATATGAACGCCATAAGACATGAAGAAGAAAAGAGAAAAGAATCAAAAATTTTGACTGCTCGACGACTTTTCTAACCACCCGGTGGGGCATGGCTGCCCCACACTGATTGGCTCTGTGGCCCGTGCTTTGAACAAGGGGAGCTGTGGTTTGCCAGGTCTTAAGGTTGGTCCCTCTCTTGGTGCGGTGACCCGATTTTTCGATCCCGTATCGGCGCGACCGCGTTGCTTGACGGCAAGAAACAGTAATTAATCTGTATCCGAAGCAATACCTGTCTCCCGCTGCTGGATTCGTGGATACTTACTAGCCGCAAACAACCCCCGAAAACCATCGACGACTCCCATCGGCTTGCAATCGAACGTAAACACGCACTCCAGGATGCGCTAAACAAGCGCCCAATTGCGAAAGCCAACCTCATTTGTCTCTTCGGACGCCTAGGGCAACCGCCCAGACAACGCTTGTCATCCCTCTCCCTCCCACGCCTTCCAAACTCGTGCATTGCTCACCATTGGCCCCATCGATATGGCGCCGGCATTTGTTAGTGCTTGTTTCTATCGCTGCATCTCTGTGCAATCAATGTTTACTGACGTTCCATTCTAGGATTACCCGGCTTCTGAGAGCTCTCGGACTAGCTCACAACTCCCGGGCCAAGGTCGGTCATCGCTGCGGGTTGTCATGGTGGACGTCTATACGGACCGCTAACACACACCTGCAGAGCCGGCAAACGACGAGATGGCAGATCTCGAGACAACGTACCAGGAGAGCACCATCCAGGCAGGAGAGGAAGTCGACTATTTCGCTGCCCAGCTCGACCGTTACAACACCGACTCGGCAAGCTCGACAACAGAGAGGCTTACCCAAGTTATCAAGCTTGTCGACACTTACTACACATACACGCGCAAAAGGGCCGACCGGTTACGCGAGCGCGAACCCCGGGCGCGGTCTGCGCGGGGGGGGAGCTGGCAAAGAGCTGCTTCGGCCGACATTGATATGGATGAGGTTGATGATGGCAACGATGCCGTCTCCGCTGAAGAAGTGCGCCGTGTAGAAGAGGAGGCACAAACGTGGGATCTTCTGCGGCGAATTCTCCCTCTACGATATGGTAATGACCAGGCCGCGTCGCAACCGGGAAACCCGGACGACGCCTCGATTAGGAGTCGTAGGCAGTGGTGGAGCGAATTTATGGTCTCCGATTCGGTTGCGCGGGAGAGGAAAGTTGTCCTGGAGTGGCTTCAAAGCGGTGCAAGTTACGGTACGCCAATCGACGAGGTGGTGAGCGAGCTACAACAAAATGCCGAGAGGGGCGACATATTGGCACACGGCTGGCTCCATACTCGCCACAAAATCAAACTTCAAAAGAGCGTCAATGGCTATCAGGGCGTGTTGGACCCCCACGACGCCGCTGCGGCTCAGTCACATCTCGGCTCCAACACCCTTATCACACAACTGGACCCAGACGCTGTCACCCGCCAGGCCCGCAAGTTGGAATCACAGGATGAGTTCTTCGAACGCGCGATTTGGCTCGGATGCTTCGAGATGCTTCGCCGGGGTTGCTCCATGTCTGAGATCAGGGAGTGGTGCGCGGAGAGAACGGAGCTATGGAGGGCCGCGTCTATTGCACCCCTGCCCCTTTCCAACCCAGATGATGAAGAGCAACTCGAGTTCGAGCCAAGCTCCCTGGTTCTATGGAGGCGCATGTGCTTTGCCGCTGCTCGAGACGGTGGGACGGGAGAGTACGACAGGGCAGTCTACGGGTTGCTGGCGGGCGATATCACCAGCGTGGAAAAGGTGTGCAAATCTTGGGATGATCTTCTCTTCGCACATTACAACGCGCTTCTCAGGACGCAATTCGACCTGCACCTTGCCAAATATGGCGGGGAGGCTGCCGGCAAAGCCGCGCAGCAATTTCCTTCCTTCAACGCCGTTCTACACCACAGCGACCCGATGACGGTTAGTAGGCGTCTGATCGCTTCCTTGGAGACGGACCCAAGAACAAGAAAAGAAGCTCTACGGGCTGGAAAGGCGCTACAGGGGGCTATTGTCTCCAACGACCTGGACCGGCACCTATTTTACCAAGGTCTTGTGTTGTCCAAGCACGCGAATAAGAAGCAAACTTCGAAGCTGATTCCCAAGGTGACTTCACCTATGATGGAAAGCTTCAATCAAGACAAGTTCTTTGATTTGGCGGACCACGACGGCCTCCGGGTGCTTGCCCACGTTCTCATCGTGATCTCCGCCCTGGACCGTCTCGCCGGTTTCGACGAGGCGGGGGGCGCGCTGCAAAGTCGGCACCAGGCACAAGAGAACATTATTGCAGCATACATCAGCTACCTCCGGCTTGCCAACCTGGAGGAAATGGTTCCTCTCTACTCTTCCAAATTGTCCAGTACCCGGTTGAATGAGACATTGAGCAGAAATCTTATCCACATTCTCGACAACGACGTCCGGCTACACCAGCTCACCATAATGAGGCAGCTAGGGCTCGACGTGGCCGAGTTCACCAAGTCTCAGCCTTCGATCTACCTGGACGATGTCCAGGACCAGTTGCTGCGCTGTGAGGCAAAGGGGCGGTTCAAAATACTCGAACCTGGTCCCCCAACGCTCAAGTACGGCCGACTTGTGAAGCCTGATTTCTTTGGCGAGGACGCCGAGTTTGTTGATCAAGAGGACGACCTGATCATTCGCGCCATGGGGTGGCTCATGTTGGTCCCAGGCCAGTTCGTAGAGACATGCACCTACGCTATCCGGATCTACAAGTATTTGCTCAGTACGTTGCCTCTCCCTCTTTTCTTGCTTGTTTTTTCTTCCTTCCTTGCTTCGCCGTGCTAATGCAATGACCTATTATAGAACAGACAAGGTTACGCGCCGCCCGCGCCTTCAGCGAACGGGTATCTGGGCGACAAATTATCCAGAAGAAGTCACCCATCCCAGTGCGGGATAAGAGCGAGGATTCTGGTCCCGGTTGGTTCCAGGAGTTTGCTGGCGCTGAGTTCTCGGCCGAATTCCTCGAGACATGCCAAATGAGCAAGGAGAAGCTCATCAACCTTGTGCGAAATGTGTGGGAGCTTGAGTGTCTCGTCCGCGCGCTGGATTCGATGGAGACTCTGTCGTCATTGGCTGGGCTTAGCAGAGAGTACGTTTTCTGCTTCACTGATACGACTCCGTCCTGTTTACTGACGACGCTCGCAACAGGGAAAACAACACGACACGCGAGATGTGGCAACATACGAGCCAAGAGGTTCGGTCAGCCAAGGCGTGCATGCAACCAGTCTTGAAGGGCTGGTTATTGGTTTCGAACGAAGGTAAGATGCTCGCCTCCCCCTCTTGGGTGCTATGGGCTGACAGCGCGGCACTAGTGGACAATGACTTCCAAGAGATCCGCGAGGCCTATATCCCCGAGACAGTGCTAGCTTACATCAGCTGCCTGCACTTTGCGGGCACATCTCTGTCCCGAGACAACCTCTTGGAGTGCATGGAGCTCGCGGCTGTGATTGCCGAGAAGGATTCAGACGTGGCCCGGGAGTTCCTCAGAAGCGGCAGAATGAAGGAACTTGTCGAGGCCTTTGCGTCGTGCAGCAAGGCGCTGGCGATATGGACAAGCGACAAGAAGGGATCGCAAACAAACTCCAAGAAGATCAGGGAGATGGGGTGGTACGTATTTGGAATTTGATTGTCCAAGAATGCCCAACTAACAACGCACTGTAGGTCACGAGAACTGTGGTCTATTAAACCATAGACGATCACAAAGTCGAAACTATGGGTTGTTAGCCCAGCTGGATAGATAACTAGGTAGTTAAGGTTGGCCGAGGTGAGCGCCGAGGTGAGCGCCTAGTTGAGCTCTGGGGTCTAGGAGAAAAGGCGTATTATAAACACCGATATGTGGATGAAGGCAATGGCCTGCTCGGGGATCTGCAGCCATTGAGTGGAATTCACATACTTGCCAAATGGTTTTCAGGAATGGGGCAACACCCGACCCCCTGGGACGTACTTCAGAGGCGTTCCTACCTTTAGTTGATGGGTTATTGTCAGGAAAGGAAAGAGGATTTTGGCGTTGCAGGGCTGTGTTTCCCGACACCGCAAACTAAGATACGGGGAATGGGGAGAGGGGCAGACAGATGGATATATCCCTTGTTAGTTATAATAGGCGCTCATGGTAGTGTTGACAATAACTTCCTTTTGGGGCATCAGCGGGCGCGGGTCTTCTCCCTGCGCCATCCGTTCACACAAAGTACAGTATTGCCCCACACGAGAATCGCCGAGGTAAATCAAGCTGCACAAGGAGCACTTGGTGGTTGATCCAAACAGTTGATGCGGGGAAATTCAGGGATATAAACCCCAGCTCCAGCGGACTAAGCCAGGGGTAGAAGTCCTTCCCCAACCGCAACCTCTCAAGTACGTACGAGCGTACATGTGAGCCCAGAGGTCTCAACATGTCAGAGCCACAAGATAAAGATGGTAGCGATGGCGAGGAGAAGGTGCCGTACGGCCAGTACCAGTTCGATCTGTATGCTCAAGCAATGATTGCCGGCCAAAAACCCATTGTCACGACGGACCCGAACAAGCTAGAACAGGCGGCCAGAGAGGCCATGGCCCCCGAAGCCTTCAACTATGTCTTTGGCGGCGCGGGCGAGCAGGCGACTATGCATGCCAACCGCCTGGCCTTCCGCCAGTGGAAGCTGATCCCGCGCATGCTGCGGCCCACCATGCCACGCGATCTCAGTGTCGAACTATTTGGCAAGAAATACGGTGAGTACCTATGAACAGTAACCCAAAACCACAACCCAGCCCCCATCATATAACAATATATGCATCTATACTAACCACCCCGCTAGACACCCCTCTCCTCATGGCCCCCATCGGCGTCCAAGGTGCCTACCACCCCCACGGCGAAGAAGGCGTCGCCACAGCCTGCGCCTCCCTCCACGTCCCCTACATCTACAGCACCGCGGCCACGACCCCCCTCGAGGCGGTCGCCTCGGCCGCGCCCGCCGTCCCGCGCTGGTTCCAGCTCTACTGGCCGCTCTCGGACGCGCTCACCGCGTCGCTGCTCTCGCGCGCCCGCGCCGCCGGCTGCGCCGCGCTGGTCGTCACCCTCGACACCTTCACCATGTCGTGGCGGCCGCTGGACCTGGACGCGGGGTATCTGCCGTTTGCGCGGGGCCAGGGCAACGCGCTGGGGTTTAGCGACCCGGCGTTTCGGCGGATGTTTGCGGAGGGGAATGAGGGGGATGGGGATGTTGACGGGAAAGAGAATGTGGTGGCGGCGAGTCGGGCGTGGTTGGCGGAGGTATTTTCGGGGCATGCGCATCGGTGGGAGGATCTGGCGGTGTTGAGGCGGTTGTGGGGGGATGGGCCGATTGTGTTAAAGGGGGTGTTGAGTGTGGGGGATGCGGAGATGGCGGTGAGGGCCGGGGTGGATGGGATTGTGGTGTCGAATCATGGGGGCAGGCAGTTGGATGGGGCGGTGCCGGCGTTGGAGATGCTGCCGGAGATTGTGGATGCTGTTGGGGACCGGCTGACGGTGTTGTATGATTCGGGGGTGAGGACGGGGGCGGATGTGTTGAAGGCGCTGGCGTTGGGGGCAAAGGCGGTGTTGGTTGGGAGGCCGGTGATATATGGTTTGGGGATCGCGGGCAGCGAGGGCGCGAGGCATGTGCTGGCGGGGCTTTTGGCTGACGTAGATCAGTCTATGGGGTTGGCTGGTGTACAGAATGTGTCGGAGCTGAACAGGAGCATCCTGAGGAAGATAAATTACGGTGGCGATGTCAAGTCATCTCTTTGAAGGGAACATCTTTCGCCTGCTTTGATGTACGTATATGTGTGTTTGGATCACCGAATGTTACGCGTTTGGAATTGAGAGTGGACGCATAGTAGCGTTCAATTACTCCCGCGATTTATACTCATCATCATAAACCAAGACGGCTTGCTACGCAACCCAACTTCAACCCGGTCCTATGGACGTAACGACCGCATCTAATCCTCCCTCGCCCCTCACGCAATATCAATGCTGAGAATCTTGATGTCATCCAACGGCTTCTCCTTGTACGTCTTGACGTTCTCAATCTTGTGAATAACATCTAGGCCCTGCACAGCACGGCCAAAGATGGTGTGTTTGTTGTCAAGCCAGGGCTAAGTCCCGTTAGCATGTGCTAGAAATATCAGGAGCAAGCACCAAACATACCGTTTTCTCCGTCGTGATGAAGAATTGACTTCCGTTCGTGTTAGGTCCAGCATTGGCCATGCTGACCGTGTATGGCTTGTCGTGTCTCAAGCTGCTGAATTCATCTGCAAACTCGGTTCCCCAGATACTCTCGCCCCCTGTCCCATCACCCAAGGGGTCTCCGCATTGGATCATAAACTTTCGGATGACACGGTGGAATATAGTGTTGTTGTAATAGCCACGCCGAGAATGCGTCACAAAATTCTCGACCGTCTTTGGCGCGGCGTCCGGGAACAGTCGGATGTGGATGTCCCCGTAAGTGGTGTGGATGATGGCCGCTGTTCCTGTCTCGGCCTTCTTTTTCTCCTCGACCTTCTTCTGTCCCAGGACTACGGGCTTTTCATTTTGGACATCTCTCGTTGATTTTGAAAACTCCTCCTCGTCGGTAAACATGTAGAAGCGAACCTTCCCCACGCCCGTCGCGACCAATATTGGGTCCCTGGACTCTGACGCTTGCAGCAGAGGGTTGCTTGACGCTGCCATGGCGACGGTTGTTACGCCCTTCTTCTGCGGCTGGCCTTGATATAATGCCAACGCCAGCGGCCGAAACCCTTCTTCCCGGCCGTAAACCTTGACTACTTGGTTTGTGAAGGTGTTGAGCACTTTGACCCCAAGGTAGGAGCCGTACAGGATGAAATGCCCCGATTCGTCAAAGATGACATTGAACTTGTCGCGAAGCTCTGGTGACTCGATTTCCCGCTCCTGGGCCAACCGGCGCCCGAATTCCACGGCATCGAGCTTTTGCAACGCGGTCCCGGCCTGCTGCATTTCTTCCATAACTTGTAATGACTCGTCGTAGGTACGCTGGAGCTGGGCCGAGGCAAAGTCGAAGATGCGTATCTTCCGATCAGGCAAGGACATGGTCGCGAATCGGCTCCCGTCGGCAGAGAGGGTGAGAGTAACCGGGACGGACTTTGCCTTCTTGAACTCGAACAAATTGGTCGAGCTCTTGTACTGGAAGACCGTTTCCGGTTTCTCGTAGAGGCCACTCGGTTGCCAGTATTCGATCATGCCGCCCTCGTCCACCGAGATTACACAGTCATATTGGTCGTTGAACGCCATCAGGGAGACGGGACTTCTATGCAGGCCGGTGATGGTGTGAATTGGTTCCTGGATCTCGCCTCTCCCGTCATAAATGCGGATGCTCGGCTTAGCTTCGCTATCAGAAACGGCCAGGAGCGGTAAAGACGATCCTTTTCTGTGAACCCAACAGACACAGCGTGGCGCAAAATCGAGCTGGAGGACGGCAAGGAGATCGAACGTGACCACGTCAAACAGCTTGACTGTCTTGTCCACGCCAACCGTCGCAAAGCTCCGGCCGTCCTGGCTGCAGGACACAGAGCGGACCTCGCCCTGGTGCGCCTTGAACTCCTTGACGAACTCAATGCCCTCGGCAACCTTTTTCCAGAACTTGACGACGCCATCGGTGGATGTTGTGATGAGGAACTCGGTTATCGGGGTCATGGTGAGGAAGGCCAGCTGCTCCTTGTGCATCAGAGATTTAGAGTAACGAGTCGACTTGGGTAGGGCTGAGATGTACAGCTTCTCGTAGGGAAGAACGCGCCGCTTTTTCTTGGGAACCGCCGAGGGCAGCTGGGGGCCCATATCATCGTCTGAGGAGCTATCTGCATTGCGAGCGTGTTAGTGAGCGCCCGTTCCGTCCGCATCTACCAAGAGGAGTAAGATTTGTCACCCATTAGAGGGACGAAGAAAGGGGGCCAGTGAGTAGCGACATACCAGAGCCATCATCGCCGGTGAAGTCGGCATGGCTTCGCTTACTCGACTTGACATCTTCGTCGTTGCTAGCCTCAGCCATGTTGGTAGTTTGACCGAGACGGCCTTCTTTCCGCGTCGGCTGTCGGCGTTCGAATCGCAGATAGCGAGCCTTCTGGATTATCTACGTAGATAGATTATATGGAGTCGCGAAAACGGACCTGGGAGGAGTGTCCACGATCCCATCTCTTGGCCTGCCCCCAAATCGGGAGAGCTTTCTTCGCGGCAAGTGGGGCGGGCTCCTGCACAGGGGAGAAGTCTTGGCATATAGAGCTCCATTTCTTTTCAAGTGCCAAGCCAGCCAGGACAAGCACGCTCTCCGATCCAGGCCGCCGTACGAGTATACCAAATGACATGGCCAAAACTGGTTGATGAAGGAAGAAATCCAAGATTTAATTATCTATAATCTGAATACAGCACTCGGCACCGCCGTCCATTGTAGTGATCTCTTCCTTCGTCAACGGCCTGCGGCTGGGTAATAAGGCAAGCAGCGAGGAGGGTGTAAGTGACGAATGAATCCCTTCAGAGTTCTATTCGAACCTGTTTTGGTCTACAACCAATGGCGCAGGTTGCTTTATTAACAAGAGTTTGGACATGGGAGTTAAAACTTTCCACCATGCGATTTATTAGCGGCCTGGTTGCAGGGCGCTTTCTTTCAGCAGCAACCAATTGACCCCACATTGAGTCATCCCCTCATGGATTGCCCCTCAAAATCTTGGAGCAGCAAGCTGTAAAATAAACCGTGTGTTCCGTCCAGCTCTCCAATTCTTGAAACTGCTTCCTGGCATTGGGAGTTTTAGATCCTTAAATTACCAAGCTGATCTGGAATTGCTTCGAACAGAAAGTAATAGATCAAACCACAATCATGTCTGTGAGTACCACATGAAATCAAGTTGTGCGCTCGCCAGGGTATGTACCTGACTCACAGTGTCATAGTCGTTCTACCTCGAGAACAAGAATGTCGGCAACAAGGCGGAAAGCGAAGACTGGAGGAGTATGCCGCCACTTGGAAACTCCTGCAAACGCATTGGGCACTAATGATATGGACTAGTTCGCGGCTACAACCCCCTGACGCCGCCCGGTCTGCTCCAACACGAGATCGCCCAGACCCCTGAGTCAAAGAAGACCGTCCTCGAAAGCCGCGAGGAGGCTGTTGCGGTTGTCAACGGGACCGACGAGAAGCAGAGGCTGTTGGTCGTCATTGGCCCTTGCTCTATCCATGACCCGAAAGCTGCGCTTGAGTACTGCGACATGCTGCTCAAGGAGAAGGAGAAGCACAAGGATGAGCTGCTCATCGTCATGCGTTCCTACCTTGAGAAGCCCCGCACAACAGTGGGGTGGAAAGGTTTGATCAACGACCCGGATATCGACAACAGCTTCAATATCAACAAGGGATTGCGGCTGAGCAGGCAGCTGTTCGTCGATCTCACATCTCGGGGCATGCCCATTGCTAGCGAGATGCTGGATACCATCAGCCCCCAGTTCTTGGCCGATCTCCTCAGCGTTGGTGCCGTCGGTGCCAGGACAACCGAGAGCCAGCTTCATCGTGAACTGGCCAGCGGGTTGAGTTTCCCTGTCGGTTTCAAGAACGGCACGGACGGGAGCCTCACGGTCGCCGTTGACGCCATCGGGGCGGTCAGGCACCCCCATCACTTCTTGTCGGTTACCAAGCCTGGCGTGGTCGCTATCGTTGGCACCGTGGGCAATGAGGACTGCTTCGTGATTCTGCGGGGTGGTACCCGGGGCACCAACTACGACGCCCAGAGCATCGCGGAGGCCAAGGCTTCCCTGCAAAAGGCCGGGGTGCGGCAACGGCTCATGGTGGACTGCAGCCACGGAAATTCGCTCAAGAACCACAAGAACCAGCCCAAGGTTGCGGCCACCTTGGCTGAGCAGCTCGAGAAGGGCGAGGACGCTATTATGGGCGTCATGATCGAAAGCCACATCAACGAGGGTGAGTGATCTCCGACCCTGCCATCTGAATGTCGTTCTAACGTGCACGCAGGTAACCAAAAGGTCCCTAAGGAGGGCAAGGATGGCCTCAAATACGGCGTCAGCATCACCGATGCGTGCATCGGATGGGAGGACACCGTTCAGGTCCTAGACCTCCTGGCCAATGCTGTGAAGAAGCGAAGAGAGGTACGAGGCCAAAACGGCAGCAGCTGAGCAGGACATGGCGCAGTGGAATCATTGGTAAGCTGTATAAACGTGTTTTATTTTCTCGAGGAGGGCGTTTGCGGGTAGCTGGGATTTGGCAAAAGTGTGGTTTTGGTATTGTCATTCGGAGAAGCACCGACATTCCACAACCATGATCGTAATTGAATATTCATTATTTCATCGAACTGAGAACCGATGCGCCTCCAGCCGTCGAATGAAAGCTGTAAATTGATCATGAATTGACAACGTCAAACCCAAAAGTGCAAAACAACATGCAAGAGAGTAGGAGTGGTTGAAGCTCCCGTCGGGGTTTTCGAGCTGGGCGGAAAAATTATCGGCCGTGCGTGCTGGGCGCAGAGCTTGATTGGCTCGGCCAATGAGAGGCCCAGCGTTCCTAAGAATCCCGAATTTGAAGAAACCTGACCTGTCGACCTTCACCAGCTTGCGCCTGCTACCTCATATCACCGACGGTGGCAGCGAATTGCCTTGTCAATCCGACCCACGACACACTTCTAAGCTTCACAAGGTGTGCCGACCATGTTGGCGAGGTCCTGCCTGCGCTCGACGCGCGCGTTTGCCGGCCTGCGAAATGGCGCCGTGCACATTTCCAAGGTATGTCTTGTCTCGGTTGTTTTCGATCATCCCTCCATCGCATGACCGCACCGACGACAATGCCCGCCCCTCCAATTGCGCCCGCAACCCCGCCTCTTTTTGTTGAGCCCACCTCGGGACTACTTACCGTAGCCCTTCCCGAGCTAATGTTCGTCTCTACTAGCGCGCCGCGTCTTCCTCGAGCTCCGGATCCGCTGCCGAATCGCCGCTCCGGTTGAACATCGCTGCCGCCGCCGCTACCACCGTCGCCGCGGGCTCGATCGCCTGGTACTACCATCTTTACGGACCCACTGCTGACGCCAGCACACCGGCTGAGGAAGGGTGAGTGACCCATCGGGGATTGGCCAACCCTCGCCGTGGACCGAGGCCCGTCTGCCCGCACTGCGGCATATTCGGCCAACCACGCTGTCGAGGGAGGCTAGAGGAAACAAACGAGCACGCAGCTTACTGTCGAAATAGTCTGCACCCGACCAAGTACCCCTGGGTTCACGAGCAGTGGTTCAAGTCCTTTGACCACCAGGCGTAAGCGTTCCTCCGTCAGATCACTTGCCTATGGCGGCATGGCTCACAAGTGTTTCGCTGTAGTCTCCGGAGAGGCTTCCAGGTCTACCGGGAAGTTTGCGCCTCGTGCCACTCTCTCAGCAGAGTGCCGTACCGCACTCTTGTCGGCAGTGTCCTGACCGTCGACGAGGCCAAGGCCCTCGCCGAGGAGAACGAATACGATACCGAGCCCAACGACCAGGGCGATATCGAGAAACGCCCCGGAAAGCTGTCCGATTACCTTCCGGCCCCTTATGCGAACGATGAGGCCGCCCGCTTCGCCAACAACGGTGCCCTCCCCCCTGATCTCAGCCTGATCATCAAGGCCCGCCACGGTGGCTGCGACTACGTCTTCAACCTCCTCACCGGTTACCCCGATGAGCCCCCCGCTGGTGCCCAGGTCGGTGCCGGCCTGAACTTCAACCCCTACTTCCCCGGCACCGGTATCGCCATGGCCCGTGTCCTGTTCGATGGCGTCGTCGAGTACGAGGACGGCACCCCCGCCACGACCTCGCAAATGGCCAAGGACGTCACCGAGTTCCTCAACTGGGCGGCCGAGCCCGAGATGGACGACCGGAAGCGCATGGGCATGAAGGTTCTGGTTGTCACATCGGTCCTATTCGCGATGAGCGTCTGGGTTAAGAGGTACAAGTGGGCGTGGCTCAAGTCGAGAAAAATCGTCTACGACCCGCCCAAGACCAACAACATCGCCCCTCGCCGCTAAGCAACAGGCCGAGCCAGGACACCACACAGCTTGACCTCTTTTGTATGTATCATATACCGCTAGGCCGCCCAGGTTTCTCTCTACGGCGTAGATGAAAACGGAGGGACGAGAAAACCTCTGGAGCGATGGAAGGGACGCGGGGCGGGTAGATCGGGGGTTGAGGAGTGTAAATCAATGTCGGTCTCAATCTAGACATTTTCCTTGCTGTTCAAAGTCACTTTCACTCCGCCTTTGACTGTGCGGCTTTCGGCCGATGTGCTCACCGAGGGGCCAGCACTCGCCCGTTCGATTGGCTTTTATAAGCAGACAATTCCACTCCAGTGTACGTACCCTTTTGTAATCAATTATCCCGGTCGTTTGCTCCCATCCCCGTCCCACACACACTCAAATCACCTTCACCAATGTCTGCTACCATCAACCCGCCAGACATGACTTCGACGACCCACTCGCATCAATCGGCCAAGACGACCAGTCACACATGATTCAAAATGGCGAGCCCCAAATCAACAGGCCAAATATTTGCGGAGGATCTTCTCTACGGCTTTGACATCGGCGATGAAGAAACCAGGCAGTACCTCACTTCGCTCATCGCCTCGGGCCAGGCGCCGCAGGCCGAACTCGATGAGCTGCACGAGCTCAGCCTTATGCGTGGGGCCGAGGACTGGGATTTGCTGTTTGAGTGCGCTTCGACGCTGCGCGAGAAGGGAGTGCTGTCGGGCAGGCATGGCGGGGAGGTTGAGGAGGCGAGTTTGGTGCCGTTTTTGGAGGCGGTGCTTGAGGGGGGTGATGGTGTGGTTGATGGGGGGGTTGTTTCTGGGCATGAGGAGAAGAAGGCGAAGACTGGGAAGGCAAAGGGAGGTCGCAAAGCAGCTGTGCCCAAAAAGAAGACGCTAGGGTTCGGTGTCTCACATTTCTGGGGGGAGGATGATGATGCGAGTGGAAGCCCAGGGTTAAGGCAACGGCGCCAGAACACCAAGGTGTTCGGTACCTGGAGCAAAGGCAGCAGTCAAGATCATCGTGTCACCCCCGGGAACCCACTCGAGGGAGCTGACGACGTTTTGGGTAGCCCCGCACTTCCCCCGGCGCAATCCCCTTCACCAAACGACGCGGATGCCTCCGTTACGATGAACGAACCCTCACTCAAGCCTGCCACTAAAGAAGATCCAAGCCCAAGACAACCAACCTCGCCCAACAATCTCACCCGCACGCCGCCCGAAACCAAGAAAACACCGAAAACCAACCGAGCCGTCAAAGCCACCGGCGGCTCCCGATCCCCCTTCTTCACCACCCCAACACCCGCCCCCAAATCCAAACCCAAACCTACCCCACCACCCCCGTCAACATTCAACAACACCCCCCACAACCAACCCCAAGACCCCCCGGCCCCTGGCAAACCCTGGAATAGGTTGAGTGGGTTCTAAAGCACCTTCTTGATGGCCGTGATCTGCCTATGGATCAGTTGCGGTAGGCTCTCAAGGTGATACTTGTTATGCATCTGCGTATTCATCGTAGCGACTGCTACCTCGTGCCCTAGTTTGGTGAGGAAGATGTCGCCAGAGAGACTCCTGCTCATCCTCGGGTATCGTCTTCATAGCGAACTGAATACGGTCCTACGACGTAGGGCTTCGAGAGATAATCGGACGAAAAGTACCCGGCGACCTCTTTGGGAACCGACTTGTCTTTGCCCGATCTCCGCTACGCGGGTGTGACCTCGTCGGATTGCTTGTTGGGAATCATGATCACATAGCCCACACCTTCACCCGGGTACTGGAGATCGCCCATGTAATTGAGGCTCGTCTCATCTCTCCTGGCCAGCTGGACATC